GCGCCCGCAGGTGCTGGCCCACGCAGCCCGTGAGGTCTCGGCGCCTGCCCCCGGGGCTCTTTTCCTGCTTTCCCGAAATGGCCGCGCTGACCGCGCCGCCTGTGCCGCTCCTGGCTGCGCGGTTAGGGTGTGGGGGTTCCCGCCTGTGCCCATCCCCTCAGCTGTCCAGGCCACTGGTCGCCCCAGGGCACGGTCCTGAGGCGCGGCTGTGACCCCGGGGGAGCGGAGGGGCCCGGCGGGTCCGCCTGACCAGCTTGCCCGTTCCCTCGCAGACTGATGGAGCGGTTTCTCCTGGACGGGTTGTATCCTTCAGGGCCCGACAGGCCCCGTCTGCGGCCGGGCAGGGCCGGGGTGAGCAGCCTCTGGCCACGCCGGTGGGGCCGACCCCGCTGCGGGCCTGCCCCGCTAGGAGGCAGTTGGGGGGCGGGCGGGGAGCCGCCGTGGCCCCGAGGGCGGGGTTGCGTAGCCCAGACCACGGAGCGTGGGCTCCACAGCCACGACCTCCGGATGCAGACGTGTGCAGGTGTCCAGCAGGACCCTCCTGCCCCAGGGGCAGCTGGAAGCGGCCTCCAGGTGGGCCCGCTGCGTGTGGGTGCGAGGAGGCTGAGCCTGACAGCTTCTCTGGCGGGGGGGACGCCCTGGCCCTCCCGGCCTGTGCCCCGCAGGGAGCGGACACCCGGGCTCGCACTCACTCAGGTGACGCAGGCTTCGGACAGCAGGGTCCTGGGGCAGAGGTGGCGCCCTGCGGCCACCGCCCCCGCGGGGGCCTCAGAGCAGGGCAGACGGGCGCCCAGGCCAGCCACCACGATTTCCCCGGGCAGCTGCCCGTGGAGCGGCCACCCCACTGAAACCCCAAGAGTTCCCAAAGGAAGAGGCCAGGCCATCACGCCGGGACCCCCTCACCCCCTCCAACGCCCTCCGCTCCTTGACCTGAGCCCAGCCAGCCGCAGCAGCTGTCCACCTACGCCCTGACCCTGTACAAGTACACGGCCACCGTGGACGGCAGGACTGTCCTTGTGGGTGAGCGCACAGGCCCTGGGGGAGGATTGCGGGAGGGCGGCCCCCTGGGGTGGGCGGGGGCGGCACAGGCCCTGGGGGAGCAGAGCGGGAGGGCGGCCCCCTGGGGTGGGCCCTGACCCACCCACTCCTTGGGGTGGGAAGCGCAGGCTGGCCTGGAGGCCCCGGCCCTCCGCGCCCCCACAGGCCAGGCCCAGCCGGCTCGGCCGCGCCCGCGCAGGCGGTCAGGGCTGTGCTTACCTCGCAGACTTCTGGGACACGGCGGGCCAGGAGCGCTTCCACAGCGTGCACGCCTCCTACTACCACAAGGCCCACGCCTGCATCATGGTAGGGCCGCGCGGAGGGCGGAGGGGAGGGCCGCGGCCCACAGCCCCCCTGTGCGCACGAGGGGGGCGGCCGGCCCTTCCGCGCACAGGGGAGACACCCCAGTGCCACGGCCCAGCACAGCTCCGGGGGTAGCCCCACCCCCGAGCCCACGCAGCCCCTGGCAGGCCCTCTGGGGCCCGGGGTGTCCGCCAGCACCACACAGCCTCCTGCGCAGGCCCCCCGGGCCGGCCAGTGCGGAGCTGCTCCCTCGCAGGCGGCGGGGCTCGGGGCCACACGGGGGGCCTAGCGGGGGCCACCGACGACAGCGGGGTGAAGCAGAGTCAGGGGTTTCTGTGGAGCCTGCCTCCCGGAGGTCCCCACTGGGGGGGCGGGGGCGGGGGCGCCGGGGCACCCCGCGGTAGGTAGCTGGCCGCCCCACAGCGAGCAGACCTCTCTGGGGCGCCTCACCCAGCACTGGAGCATAGGTGAACAAATCCTTTTTCACATCAAAAATGCAGCGTAAACAGAAGGTGGGCAGTGCCCGAAAGGCAAGTGGCCTGCGAGTCAGGGCCGCGCCAGAGCGCGGGCGCAGGGCTGTAACGCGTGCGAGGGTGCTAGCGGGGAACAGCCCCCCGCGATGCCCCCGC